GCTGTGAAAATAGGTCACACAAAATGCTGTCACACAAAAAGTTACTGAAGATACCATGTTTGATGCAGTAGCAGAATTGCGAAAACATGCTGCTAATGATGATGTTTTTGATATTGGTGTGTCATATGATGGTACTTGGCAGAAAAGAGGTTTTTCATCATTAAACGGTGTCTTTTCTGCATTATCAATGGACACTGGAAAAGTTTTAGATGTGGAACCAATGTGCAGGTTCTGCAAAAGTTACTTTTTGAAGAAAGATCTTTTAAAAACAAACCCTACAGCCTATGCCCAATAGAAAAGCTCTCACATTTGTAAAAATAATTACAAAGGATCTGCAAGCGGTATGGAGTGGTGCAAAACGTGTATTTTTAAGATCTATAGATAAGTACAAACTGCGATATGTAAATTATTTAGGATATGGAGACAGTAAATGTCATAGACACTTATCCTGGCATTCAAGTTAATAAGTTAAAATGCGTGGGACACTATCAAAAACGTTTTGGTTCACGACTACGAAATTTAAAGAAGAGAGAAAAAGGTCTCGGTGGACGTGGTTGTCTTACAGATGCAGTTATTGATCGTCTGCAAAATTTCTTTGGCATTGCTATAAGGCAAAATGCTGGAAACTTAGCAGGTATGAAGGCGTATTGGCTACATTATTTCATGTTGCATCTTCCAAAGCAAATAACTTGCACTTTCCTCACTGTCCTACCGGCATTAATAGTTAATGCAAGTTCAACTTTGATAAAGTATAATTCCAACACTTACAAATAATTCCAACACTTACAAACCAGGTCCAGGTCTTCCAATTAACATAATTTTTAAAGTTAGACCCATTTTTGAGGATCTTAGCAAAGATTCAGAACTAAAAAAGTGTTTACATGGGAAAACCCAAAACGATGATTAATCCTTCAACAGTATGATTTGGGACCGATTACCAAAGACCAGGTATGTGTCATTTGATAATTTGCAAAGCAAATTATCAAATGACACATACCTGGTCTTTGGTAATCGGTCGCAAATCATACTGTTGAAGGATTAGTAGCAAATTTCAATATTGGTATGAAAGCTTCAGTTTTAGTATCAAAGTATGGAGAGTCAGGTTCATAAAAAATAAATAAATCATCGTCGTATAAATCTTTTGCAAAAATATTATTTTTAGTTTTAAAAACGTCAAAACGCAACTTATCAAAATCTTTTGTTAGAAAATCATTAGCCGTGACGAAAGAAGAATACACCGATTGAGCGAATTTAAAATACGTCATTTTTAAGAGGTCTGAACTCCAATAGGAGGGGTAAAAAAATACTTCCGCTACAATATTTACTTGAGAAAACGAAGTATAAACATCAAACTAAAACTGCTAAAACAAATATTTACTATAAAATTAATCATGGAGTACAATATGATTTCAAAGATGAAAGTTGAAGAGTTAAAAAACTATTTGAAATTAAGAGGATTAAAATTAAATGGTAAAAAAGAAGAGCTAGTTGCTCGTGTATTTGCTGCAATAGAAAACAATGTTCTACCAATAAAAACAGCAGTAGAAGTTGAGGCAGATTTAAAAAAAGAATATAATTTGAAACTGGAATTAGAAGATATGCAGATACCTGATCCGTTCAAAGTTCTTGATGGCTGGATGGACGAACAGGAGGGTATGCCATTCTGGCCAATGTTATTATATCCAGATATATTTAACTATTTAATGTTTAGTCCCTCAGAACTCGGAAGTAATGACTTAAGTGACTATAAAGACTCAAAAGCATACAGCTACTATAAATCTTCCTGGTTTCAGCCTCTTATGTATCATAATTTAACAGGTAGTAATTACTGTATATTTAAATCAGAATGTCAGAGATCACAGTCTATCAATGATACATATCATAAACCTAAAATCAAAGACCTTGACTTTAGTCGTGAAGATTTTGGCAAAAGAGGTAAAAAAAAGAGAAAGTTAGTAGATACACAAAAAGAAAAATATAATCCTCTATCGAATAATACAGTACAATTATTAAAAATCAATGATGTAGCTTCTGCTCTTGAGAAAATTGTGCCAACAAGCATTTTGTTTACTGCTGTTCCAAAACCAAAAATAGACTTTATTCGTGAAGTTTTGACAACAGTTGATATGCCACCAGTTGATTTGCCAAGCATTGACAGTTTAATTTCTACCTCTTCGTGTTGTGTTGAGTTTTTTACAGGTTTAGAAGTAAACATGTCAGCTGAAAATATAAAACAAATAGAATTAGTAACACGAGGGCAAAATAAAAATGAAAATTGGTATCACTATCGAAAAAGTGTTATAACTGCCTCTAAAGCTCACGAGGTAGCAATGAGTATGGATAAAATTAAAAAAGTTGTTGTTGGCTACCATAACTTTTGGTCACTTAACCAAAAAATATCAGGCCTGACATTTACTAACCCTAATATTCCAGCCTTAAAATATGGGCGTACGATGGAAGTTGAAGCTGTGAATGCGTTTTATGTAAAAATGAAAGGACATCATAAAAATCTTGATTTAAATGAATGTGGACTATACCTTGATTATGAACATCCTTACATTGGAGCAAGTCCAGACCGAATAATGTTATGTGATTGCTGTCCTAATGCATGTATTGAGGTGAAATGTCCTTACAAGATTAATTTTACTGCACCAACAGAATTAAATTTACCATATTTAATAAAAAAGGGTGTTGATATAAAACTCAAAACTAACCATACTTATTACACCCAATGTATGATGCAAATGGCTGTTACAAAGTGTAGTGTTACATACTTTGTTGTATGGACCCCACATGGCATAGTCGTAGATAAAATTGATTTTGATGTATCTTTGTGGAGTTTGTTAAAGGAAAAATTTATTAATTATTATAAAGATTACTATTTAAAATCTATTTTTAGCATCTAATTTAAATCTTTTCAAAAATTCTTTTATATTTAGGTTTTTAGCATATTTTTAAAAACTTAGTTTTTTGCTCTAATGCCACTAATTATGATCTTCCTCTAATTTTATTATGATAGTAGATAATATATTATTATTTTTCTTAATGAAATTGATTTTGTAATGTTAGGATAAAATATATAATACTGTGACATTATATTGTTTGAGGATAAATTTATGTTGTAATGTTGGGGGACACAATTTAAATATAAATCTTTACAAAATTTTTTCCCCCATTTGTTTAACCTATATGTGCTATTTATACAGCCATAATATATACAAGTTAACTTTTACCATCTTTACATATAGTTTAAGTTCTTATGGTCTTTTTATAATTTATTAAATTTTATTAAGAAGATTTTGCTTTGATTTTGTAGTTTATTTTTATCAAAGTAACGTGATGTTTCTATTCTTACCCCTCCTGTGCAGTGCCGAATCAAGGAGGGGGGCTATATCCCCGGGCCCCGTAAATTTAGAGGCCCCAAAAAATTTTAGAGGATCTTTTTTTTTTCTAGTCATTGTTAGGCTCTGGCCCATAAAAAAGACCTCCAAAAACAAATATAGCCCCAGACCTCAAGAAGTCTTAAGCCACTACTTCTGTGGGGACTCGATTTTTTTATACTTTCATGAAATTTATACGGTCAAAAGGTAATCAAGGGTTAGGATCAGGGTTAGGGTCAGGGTTAGGGTTAAGTAAAATACTGCTATTGTAGGTTCGTATTTTTACTTTTTGAGATTTTACGTTTTGTTTCAAAAATTAACAATTTTTGAAAAGAAATAAAAAATTTTGAAATAAAATAACGAATTTTGTAAGTGAAGGCATCTTCCCCTCAACACCCAAAGTAGTAGTAACAGTTGAAGAAGTCAGGACCGGCGATAGGGGCGTAACAGCGGCGGCGTAAGTGATAGTGGAGAGGGCCATGCGCAACCTCACACTATTCATTTAAGTAGCTTTTGCCTCCTCCTTAACTTTAAAGATATTTTTCAGATTATTTTTACCCTGATGTCATACAATGACAATAATATTCGTGAAATGAAACTCAAAATTTAGTCAAAGAACCTTGTTATTAGCCCCCTGAACTTTTTTAAATTAACAGAAACAAAGTTTATTTAAGATTAACTTTATTTCTAACCTCTAAAGTAAGCGAACTGACTACTGCACCACGGCTGCTCCTAAAACATTCGGAGAAGGGAGGGGCGAAACTGGAATGCTACCTCATCCCCTGCCCCACTTTTAAAAACGCTCCGCCTCCGCTGAGGTGAAACATCTCTCCCCACCCCAGTCTTGATTTTTAGTTGGCAAATATGGACATGGTTTGACCTAGTCAGAAAATATAAAAAATCAATTTTTTTTTAATCGGCAATATGCTTATGGAACCCCTAAAAAAAAGTCATTACTGTCTAAGCCAAAAGATTAATTTCCTTATTGCGAAAATCAGTGTCGTTGCTATAATTTATGCTGCCTGTAGCTGATTTTAAATTTGAAGATCCTTTAACTTTAAAAAAAGGTACTAGATTTGTTTTGTGTCCACTAAATACAGCGATAGAGATTTATATGTAAATTATTCTACCTCCTATTAACCAATCAACCTCTATAATATTTGAGTTCCTTTGTTTCCTCCTTTTTTTAAAATATTATTTTAGTTCCTTAATTGCCTTTAAAAATATAGGAAAACTACAAGTTACATACCAAAAAAGTTTTATAAAAATAGAATCTTTTATGATTCTATAAAAATAGTTTTATAGTAAAAATAGTTAAAATCATAAAATACTTTATGCATTAGAAGGGGAGAAAACATTAAAAAATATCACACCATATATCTTACAAATAACTAACTTTAATAATAAATAAGATAGAAATAAGATATTAATGTAAAGAATTAATAAATTTTAATAAAAAAAAGTTCCTGCAAAGTTAAGAACATTTATACATCATTGAGGAGATAAGACCGAATAACAACACCCAAAGGTACATTAATAAATACAATACATGTACAAGTAATAATAAAAACAAAAACAAAAAACCTTTTTTTTTAAAAAAAGACTCAACAAAAAATTTACTTAATGAGTACTTATTTTTGGTTTAGGGTCTGCTATCAGTTTTGGTTTTAAATTACAAAGTGCACCACATGTTAGTAAAATGTCATCTGCATGTTGCAGCATGCTAATTGACATACTTCCATTTAGAATTCTGTATGTTTTAATTCTGTTAATAGCTCGCTCTACATGTATTCTTAGATTTGCAACATGTTTAGTTTTTTGAACTTCTTTGGTGGTTAATTGACTTTTCAAGCGGGCACCAGGTGGAACAACTAAAGTACAGAAATTTAAAATTAAATCTTCCTGAATTTAAAAACCTTGATCAGCCATAACTTCATCATCTCTCACTAGTAGATTATATATACCACCATCTCTTGTAATAAACCTATCACTTGCTCTTCCACCATAACATGAAGAAAGAAATGTAATATATCCAGTTGGACTAACACCTATTAAAAATTTAAATGTATTATGATGCTTATATTCTGACCAGGTGCTTGATTGCTTATCAAGGGACTTTGAACGCTCTATAAACACTTCTGCACAATCAAGAATCACTCTACATTTTTGATAACCAGCTTTCACAAAAACAGGTGGCAGAATGTTACGAATAGATTCACGTGGAAGCCATACAACTAATGCTTGTCCTAAAACTTGACTTAACATTTTAATCCAAGTTGTGAATGTACGAGAACACAATGCTGGGGATATGCCAAAACGATCAGCTAAGTCTTGATTTAGAAGACCTAATCTTAATCGCATTAAAACAAGTAAAAACTCATCTCTTTGTGATAGTTTTTTAAATTTTTTCATTGAAGCATATTTTTTTTGGTTTTTAGAATTGGTAAACTTTTTTGGACCAGACCAATAAACTAAATTTGATAAATATGGTTTAATTAGTAGAAACAAATTTTCAAATAATTTGATTGTTGATAAACCAGTGTAAAAGTTCATTTTAGCATCAGTTTTAATTTTTTTCCATATAAATACTGAACTTTTAACACTATGAAATAACTTTTGACGCTTTAATTTTTGGCAAGTTAATGTTAACGTGTTCACTTTACTGATGAGTGATTCGATTAAATTGCTCTTGTCAACACATACTTTGCAAACTTTACTTGATTGTAGAGAGCAATACGAATGATCAGATACTGGCGAGAAAAATGATACATTTGCTAATGGTAAACTATTTTCTTCATATAAATCTGTTAAAACATCATTAGAATGAGGTGACTGTCCTCAAGCAAGCGTCATAAAAGTCGAACAACTTGTAGTTGCAGTGCAGTCAAGTTTTTGCTTTTTTAATGGTATGGGGTGTTTTAATAATTTTCTTCTAGATTTATTAGCTTGTATTTCATATCCAAGACATAAAGTAGGCGTAGGGTTTGCAGTTGAAGGAATTCCATCAACAAAGTGCATAGAGCATACCCTATCACTACCTGTTGGCTGCCATAATGTTTTATTTATAAATTCTCTTCTTAACGCTTTCACCCATAATTGTCTTTCTTTATTTTTCTGATTTACTGATGGAAATTTGTATAATAAAAATGGCTTTTCACATAATGAGCATTCCTCTCTGCTTATATTTTGATGGTGTTCATTGCATATTTCTTTTTTCCATTTTTTCAACCTATATGTACTATTTGCACAACCAATTACGGCACAATTAACTTTCGGCATCTTTAAATAAAAAGTTTGTTTTCTGATTATACTTAATAATTAAATAAATTTTATTTGAATGCTTTTGATAGATGTTTATACTTCGTTTTCTCAAGTTTTAATGGGAGATTTATAAGGTTGTCTCTACTTTTACCCCTCCAACGGGGTCTCGAACTCCCAAATTATAATGGCGCGTTACAAAGCTCAATCGGTGTCACTGATCTCAAAATAATAACTGGATAGCGTATTCTATTGTTTTTCGTAAAAAAAGTTGAAGCCAATTTTGGCCTACCAAGATGGCGTCGGTTAGAACTGTTAGCGGTTTGAATCGTATAAAAATTCTGACCGAATAAGAAAAGTAAACTATTTTTAAGGAAAATAAGATGGCGAAATAAATTTATTTGATTATTAAAATATTCAGCTAGTATACACTTTTTAAATGAGGTTTATAATTTATGTACCTTTTAGTTCTTAATTACCCAATGCTGTGTGCTAGAAGGTTAATAACACAACTGTATGGTAAGCAGCAACGATGTCTACCTACAATCTTTAAAGAATTTTAAAATCATGAGTTTTGTAGGTAGAAACATTATTGTACCAATGCTGTATGAACTATTAGCTGAGAACTGTGAGTACACACAACTCAGAGGTTCCTTCTAGGATTATAAAAGTCATTTTATTATTTAATGCATTAACTTTCTGGACTCAATGTTCAGTGAAAATATAAAACAATATTTATATTCCAAAGTAAAAAATTATCTTTTAAAATCATGAGTTTTGTAGGTAGAAACATTATTGTACAAATGCTGTATGAACTATTAGCTGAGAACTGTGAGTACACACAACTCAGAGGTTCCTTCTAGGATTATAAAAGTCATTTTATTATTTAATGCATTAACTTTCTGGACTCAATATTCAGTGAAAATATAAAACAATATTTATATTCCAAAGTAAAAAATTATCTTTTAAAATCATGAGTTTTGTAGGTAGAAACATTATTGTACAAATGCTGTATGAACTATTAGCTGAGAACTGTGAGTACACACAACTCAGAGGTTCCTTCTAGGATTATAAAAGTCATTTTATTATTTAATGCATTAACTTTCTGGACTCAATATTCAGTGAAAATATAAAACAATATTTATATTCTAAAGTAAAAAATTCTCTCAATGACTTAGATTTAAAGTCTAACTCTTGTCAAACACAACTGTGAATAATTATTCCTCAAAGTTTGAAGGATAATTATTGACAGTTTAACACATACATAGTATGTAAAGATGTAACATATGTATGTTACATTTTATTGAGAATAAATTCTCTAGAGGAGGTTAAGTTAAACCAAGCAAAAGTGTTGTTTTGGTATGCGAAGGAACAGAAAGATGTTTCCAAAGGTTTTTTTACATCAACAAAGATTACCCTCCCTAATGATATAGGAATTAAAAATGCAAATGCAAATGTTGTTTTGAGATCAGTTGATATATCAAAAGTATTAACAGAGCTAACTCATCATATGCTAGATTCGTCTTTAACTGATAAGCATTTATTCTCACTGATTAAAGTTATTTCAAAAAATTACTGAAAAATACACTTTCATCACCAATGCAAAGAAGTAACTAACAAATTGACTGGAAAAAAGTTTAGGAAGCAGTTGATTAAATTTGTCTTATTCAAAAATCAATGAAAACATTTGTTTTTAGTATACCATTTTAGTGCACAGATATGGTAAGTACAAATTTTGGTCAAATTGAGATAAGTACGCAGAAAAACCTGTTTTTATTTATAGTTTATTGTGAATAAATATGGTATGTGTAGGATAAACGATAAAGAGTCTAATAATTGACAATATGTGGTAAATACAAAAACTCTTATTATTATAATTACGCACACAAATGACAGTTTCTACAGTTTTAATCTAGCACTTACCACATCTGTGCACTGTGTCATTGATATATACACAGTAAACTCCTGATAACTCAAACCTTTAAAAAATTGAACTTCCAGTATTTCCTCGGACACTTAAAGGTTACGACTTATCAGGAGTTATATATGCATATATATAATATACATACAAACATTTATATATATATATATATATATATATATATATATATATATATATATATATATATATATATATATATATATATATATATATATATATATAGTAGAAAATAAAACGAATTTCATGCAAATTTTACAACATTACAACATTAAGTTTCATGCTGATGCAATCATCAGGTGAAATAAAAATGAAAAGTATTTCACCTGATGATTGCAACACATAGTTTTATTATTTTCTATATTATAGCTCTGTTCATTAAACACCTTGATGGTATGTCCAAAAAACATATATATATATATATATATATATATATATATATATATATATATATATATATATATATATATATATATATATATATATATATATATATATATATACATATATATATATATATATACATATATATATATATATATATATATATATATATATATATATATATATATATATATATATATATATATATATATATATATATATATATATATATATATATACTCACTTAAATGTACTAGGTGAGTATATTTATGTGTGTGTATATAGTTAGTATATTTATTTGTATTAAAAGAAAAATCTATTAAAATTAAACTAAAATAATTAATGATAACAAACTCTAGAAGGAACCTCTGAGTTGTGTGTACTCACAGAGCTCAGCTAATAGTTCATGCAGCATATATACATTACAAGTATCTGTTTAAAACAAATTTTTTTAAGACTGATTCATATTAAACAGATACTAAGCTGCCTATCATGCAGTTGTGTTATTAACCTTCTAGCACACAGCATAAGATAATTAAGAACTAAAAGGTACATAAATTTGTTATTAAATTTTTTTGAAGGATTTTATTTATCTTATAATAAAATAAATTTATACATATTTATAAAATAAATTTATACATATTTATATTGTATAATATAAATATTATTTTTCCTAATATATATATATTATATATATATTAGGATAAATAATATTTATATTAAGCAATGTATATATATTTTTGATGAATATGTATAAATATATTATATATTATATATATATATATATATATATATATATATATATATATATATATATATATATATATATATATATATATATATATATATATATATTATATATATACCTACTTTTATTTTTAAAAATTGTTTTTTTTTAAAAAAAAAAACCTTATTTGTGTTTAAAATTTTATCTTTATCGATTACGCTTAAGGTTTTTTGATTTTTTAAACGGTACTTCTATAAACGTTGGCAGACTACGCCGCCATCTTGGTAGGCCAAAACTGGCTTCAAAAATTTTTCCGAATGCGCTATCCAGTTATTATTTTAAGATCAGTGAATCGGTGTATTAAATCAACATTTTTTTTTTAAATAGAATTCGATTTGCATAAATTTATTTTTAAAAGCGCGTATTTTTTCAAATCTCGACTAAAAATTTTATCATACTTTAAAATGGCGTATTTACCTATACCATGGCCTACTTAAATACACGGCCTTCTATTCTGCTTAAATCGGAAAAAAATAGAAGGCCAGTTAAAATAACGCATATTTTGTCGGATGGACAATCTTTCTAAAAATATTTTAATTATTGAGTTATGAATTTTAAGTAAGTAAATCTGGCACGGGATAAAAATTTTTGCGTTGGCTTAATCGAAATATCTACTAAACCACTAAACTTTGTATACTTTATTGAGGCTTCTTTTTAATAATAAATCATGATAAATTAGTAATCATGATTAATAAATGCTGTGTTTATTGAAAACAACACAAAATTTATTAACCTTCATAATTACATATTACTTAAATGATTTTATAAAGACATGGGTTATATTTGTCAATAGAATTTTTGTGATATTCAAGGACTGTACAAGAAATAAAAATACACAAACTCTCAAAAGTAAGCTTTAAAAGTATAAACTAAATTGAACACAAACTGATTAAATTTACTGATTAATGCGAAAAAAAAAATGTTCTTATTTTTTTCTCTGTTTTTGTTTAAAGACAACAATGTTATCTGCAACAATGGAATCACAGACTCTCTTTCTGATGCTATTAAAATAAATATTTGAAATAATAGTGTGTATAATTTCTT